ATCACGATAAGAGGCCGAGGAGGATGGCTATGGTTGGTAGAAATTGATTCCTTTCGTTGAGACCTTTCATTAGAGTACCATGAAGGATAAAACTAGTTCCACCCCACCCCCTCCATTCCATATTATAATAAGAGGGCAGAAAGAAGGGCAGTAGTTGGTAGAAAACGGTTCCTTTCGTTGAGACCTTTAATTAGAATACAATGAGAGATAAAATTAATTTTTAACCACCCAGGCCCCGTCGCATACTGATCTCGAAAAAGAGTCGTACGGGAAAGTTATAGTTTGTACAAACCAATTTATTTCGATGAGACCCCCCATTTTCTAAAGTTTAACTTTCCACCATTAAAGACATGCGTATGCAAATTCTGAGACCAATTGGTTGTGGTATGTAAAAGTTATGCACGATTTACTTTCAAAAACAGCATCTCAGGAAATAATTCGTGGGGGGGGGGGGGGGGCTTTTAAACAGCGAAATTTAATGGCCGTCTGGCACACCTTCAAGATATAGACTACCTACTGCAAACAATTCCAGGACTCTAGGACCATTCCCCTAGAAGTAGTTCGAAAAGGCAGAAGTGGGTCCGGACGGACGGACAGACGAACAGACGGATGGACGAACCGACAAAACGAAAACAATAGCACATTTGTTTAATTCTTAAAAAATGCGTTAAAAATACGGTAGAGTTGTCCTATGAGAGATGTGTCACTGCAACAGTTTTCTATCACACTAGCGCGACTCCGCAGGCTACGTTGTAATTACAGGGTGTAATTGTCATTGGCTGAGGTGGCAAACGGTAAAAATAACACGGCAGCTTATTTTTTCTTGTGCAATTTTTAGCATTTTTACCATAAACTTGAGTTCTTCACATGAATCAAAATAGGTATTTTGTCTTTTTTCCAACAAAATTTGTGTATAAATAAATATCCAACTCTACCATCTTAACCGCGCCCTTTACCACAAAAAGATGACATAAGTTAGTCCTTCCCCATGAAATCAAATTATTCTGTTGTTTTCGCAAAGAATTTTGTAAATAATTGATTGAAGATTTTGCTCTACCAACTTAATTTGACCCCTAACGCAAGAGAAATAGCGTCAAATTTAAACTCTCGCATGAAATTAAATAGTTTTGTCGTTTTTCCGGATCAAGATTTTGCTTTACCGACTTAATTTGGACCTTTGGAATTTAGGGGAGCCTCCTCCCTCTTAGGACAAGGACATTTGATTGCCGTCTGGCACACCTGCAAAGTATAGGCTACTTATTGCAAAACATTCCAGGATTCCAGGACAATTCACCTAAAAGTAGTTCAAAACGGCAGAAGTGAGTCCGGACAGACGGACGGGCGGACTGGCAAAACGCAAACAACACACCACAACGTCATAACTTGTAAAGGCATTTTTTTGAATCGGTATTATGTTCACTTTTATTCGAGGGGCCCACATACAAAACAAGTTAAAAAGTAATCGTAAACGATTTACATAAAGTGCATTTCCACTTGCATTCATTTCCCATTTGTAAGATGCAACTTCTGTTAAAATCGTAAAAATCCGGCCACAAATATGAAAGATAGCGTTGCACCTGGGCAATCCATTTTTGACGTGTTACTTCAATTTCAGTTTATGAGAAGAATTTCATTTCAATGCTTTTCTAAATAAGAAAGTTGGAACTGCGCATGCGCAAACCTAAATTTTGAAACTAATGTTAGATTTTCCTTTGTTCCAAGCGCCAAAGTATCAAATTTCACTTAAATGCTTCCATAGATAAAAAAAAGTGGGCACTGTGCATGCGCAAAAACAAATTTTGAAACTGGCATTTGATTTTCCTTTATTCCAAGCGCCTATGTATCAAATTTCATTTAAATTCTTCCATAAATAAAAAAGGGCACTGCGCATGCGCAAAACCAAATTTTGAAATTGGCGTTTGATTTTCCTTTATTCCAAGTGCCTATGTATCAAATTTCATTCAAATACTTTTATAAATAAAAAAGTTTGCAATTCGGTTTATAAATGGTCGAGATGCGAAAAGGGCACTGTGAATTTTGAATCGATTCGACTCAACTTTTGGCATTGCGTATTATATGGCTAAGGCTATGCCAATATTGAATTTCATGCAATTCAGTTCATAATTAACGGAGATGTAAAAGCGATCGGACATTTCTAAACAAAATTATCGTTCACACGGACAGATAGAGGGACAGACAGGCAAAGGAACAGACGGACAGACCAACAGACAGACGACAGACAACAATACAAAATTATAAATGATCTCTAGGATGGTTAATAAACGGCAAAAGTGTATAAAATTATGGAACATGTAAAAAACGGTTTGTTGGTTTTTTTACAATAACTTTTTTAGCAATAAACGCAGAAAAAATTCCTTCCTTGGTGCAAGCCTCGACACCATAACGAACCAAATAGCGAAAAAAGTAGAACAATAGCTCTTAAGATAAAGAACTAGTAGCGTCGCAAAACGAGCGGACGGACAAAGTGGCCACAATAGCGCATTTTTTTTAATTTTTGTGGAAATGCGCTAATGATACAAAATGATCTAGCACAGATACCACCCACTGATCCGGCCCGCCGATAAGTTTTGTCCGGCCCGCTAACATAATTCATAGTTAATACTTCATACGGCCCGCCACCAAGTTATATTAAAAATTCGAATTAATTAATTAATTATGAATTATGATTATGTTAGACGGCAGCATCTAGTGGTCGCAATCCGAAGCTTCCAAGACGTTTGAAAGCCTCTTTGAACATGCATTTCTTTTTTTACAAATATCGCCAGGTATTTTCCAGAATTTTCGTCGCGATATATACCAGGTGCGGCAATAAAACGACACGTGTTTTGGGTTTCCGCAACATTTTTAAGCCATATATTGCAACAAATCTTAAGAGCATACATGAAAATTTGGATACAAGCTGAATATGGGGATTTTTTATCCACATCTGGTAAACTGTATGCAAAATCGTGCCAATTTTCAAGAGTACTTATTGTTATGTTTTTAATGATTTTTACGAAAGCAAAAAATAGGTTAACACCAAAAAGATTTCTTTAAACATACTTTTTATTTGGATTTTCAAGTTTGGCCCGTGGCGCATACGAACAATTTTATTTTGGGCCCTTGGAAAAAAAGGTTGCCCGTGCCTGATGTAGCCTATACCTACACCTTGAAGGTGTGCGGTTCTCATGGCTCCTTTGAGCTGCCAATTCGGTAATAAACTAGTTATTTAAACCGTACTAGGGTTCGCAAAGAGCTCAAAACTTTTTATGAAAAGAAAACTTTAACGACAAAATTCATATTTTAAAACGATCAAAGGTCAAAGGTCCTCCACAATTGAAAATTGCAAAACAAGAAAGTCGCGAATCTGGTCGCGATCGCACTAGGTTTGAACAAACGGAGCAACTATCAAAACGAACACGTTATAGACGAATTTTTAAGATAGGTTACAGAAATTTAAAAGAAAAAATAACCAAAAAGTGTGCATTCGACTTTTGCATTGTGAAATCGTTGAATAAATGAAGCTTTTTAGCGCATTTTTGCAAAAATTTTTTTTGTAAAAAGTAGCTTTTAATCTCACTTTGGCTGGCTGGCTGGCTGGCTGGATGGCAGTAAATGCGCGCCCGTAGAAAAACGCTTGTAAAAAGACAAGGAGTGTACATGTAACTATCGGGGCCGTGTAATTAAGAACGTTAGGGATGGGGCTACAAGATTTGGAGTCGACGACATCTTGGACGCCATCCCCGAGCGTATTATACTAACCTGGAGATTTTTCAGTTTTTATCTATCTTCTTCTACAGTTTTTCTCCGATTGTTTTCAAATTGGTGTCGTCGGTAAGATCTTGTCAACGCGCACAACTCCTGCGTGGCCGAATTTTGTTTTTTTTCCTAGGGGCGAAATAAACCACCTTTTGCGCGGCGCGCTTCGAGGGGTAGTCGACTTTGGGCACCCAAAAGTTTCTTACAGCGCGAATCGCGGTCTCTCTTTCTCGTGTCACTAATAGAAGGTCGAGCTATGTGAAGTACCCAAAAGTTGAATACGATTTTATGCCGGGATTTTAGCGAAATCTACCAAAATGTAAATTACGAATGAACGGGACGTCGGAACTGTGTATCGACAAAGGGAAAGTGGTAACCCCCGACGAGATCTTACTGATGGTGGAGTCGAAACTTCAAATCCGAATTGTTGCGGGTGATCAGAAGTGGGTGTCGACAAAGGGAATATGGTAACCCCAAAGGATTTTACTGATGGTGGAGTCAAAACTTCAAACGCGAATTGCGAGTGCACGGTAAGTGAGAAAATGGTACCGACAAAGTGAACGTGGTAGCACAGATTTGTCTGTGGTGGTAGCTTTCGGCAAGATCTTATTGATGGTGGAGTCAATATTGGCTAATAAAACACTGATCTGCCACACAAAAATGCGCTGAAGTCCCTTCGATCTCACACGAGGACTTTGATAATTTTTTTTACCAACTTAACCCTAATAGGGTGCAAGACAACAAAATCCAACTCAAATGTATTTTCCCCATTTCTCATCATAAAAATCCTATGGAATAAATTTTTGTTACCGGTAGACGCACAGGTGGGATGACTAATTCCTTATCTGCCAACATGTGGCGGCATGCAGTTGGAAATTTAATTCAAAAACAATAAGAAGAAGAAAGTATAGAGTCTAATTCTACTTTACAATGATTTTTAGTCTAATAGTACGGTCAATAATTACTTTTTTGGGTTTTACGTCACGCCGTACGAAGTCAAAATTCGTTACCTAAAATCTAGAACAAGAATACCTACTCTGGCATTAATTGACCAAAACGTGAGATTAAAGAACCACATCGTCTTAAATTTTTGAATTCGTTTGAAAGGTCAGTTTGCTGAATGAGGATTAATGTTGCCCGGTATAGACGTGCGATTGTTTGTATTGTGGTCAAATATATTTACTACCTATGAATTTAGTTGTTGAAAAAGTAACACCCTAATTATAAATCAAAAAACTCACCCTTTATTCGTTTTGTCTTGATCCTTTGAGGAAGCACGAAACAAACACTCCACTCGCATAAAGCGCAATGCGAAATGATTTCTATCACCTAATTAGGTATTGGAACACGTCACACGTGTTACCTATAATAGCCGATAATGCCTAGGCCGTACAGGCCAGTTTGATCGGTATCGTCTTATCTTAAAACTCACACAACTGGCACGTAAATTTCCAAATTCAAGCGCGTCGAATATTGAAGTCAGTGGCGTGTACATTTTAGGATCCACCCTTGCATTTTCTTTACCATCCGTTCCAGCTGCTTCTGCTGTGCACCAAATATTTTTGTTGCTATAATGCTATAATTATACTCCTGTGAATGAGCATTCAAACGTAACCTTCTCCGTTTTTATTACAGTAATAACGAGGGGTGTAATTTTTCACATTCTGGTTAAAAATGTAACCATTTGGCGCATTTATTAGCCAGCCATTGCTTTCCACTGCTTGTAGAACTGCTGCAAATTCTTCATCAATATTTGTCGTAAGTTATTTGATTGCGATAGGAAGGATACTTATTAACGAGCAACCCAGAGCTAGTTCATGATTTTGGATTGTGCCCGTCATCCGTCCGTCCGTATGTTTACATGATAACTCACGAACGCTTTTCAATTTTCCAATTCTGATTTCAGTAATAGGTAGACAATGGCCAAGGGACTAACTGATGAAATTTTGGTCATTTGGACTTTCTGTCTGTTGTCTGTGTGGTCATGTGACCATGTATCACATGTCAATCTTTTACATAAGAGCTCCTATGGAGGATTGGCAATCCAAACGAACATACCATGTAAGGGGAGCTGTAAGGGATGTATAAGCGAGAGCATAGTCACTCAGATTTTTTTGTGCAGCTACGGAAACTACGGATTACGGCGGTCAGTGGAAGGAGTTGGATAAAAATCAGGAAAGAAATATCCAGAATATTTAGTTGAAATGGTCCGTTGAGGTCGTCCCTTTTCTATTGTTAATAAAAGTGCTCATCACATAGGGGTATCATTTCTGTGGCACATCAAATATATTTTAACGAAAGATACAGCTAATAGCTATGTAATTCAGTCCGTTCTAGGCAGGCTAGAAACCAATTTCGTAAGAAATTTCAAAGGGCTGTACCTTTTGAACTAGTAGCCCACTCTTGGAACTGTTTGAAATTATGGATTCTACAGGCCACATTCTACAAGACAATTTTTTTTCCGGCTGATCTGAAACAATTTTTGTTTCGGCCTCAAAAAAAGGCAGTGTATAACCTTCCTTTTTTACCAAAAATCGACTACACTAGAATTTCTCGGGAAAACACTTTTCCGTATTAATTTTGGTGCGTACTTTTTCGATTAGACGTCGCAAACAAAAGTTATAGACTAGAAATCAATCAAAGGGCTGTAACTTTTGATCTAGTAGCCCAATCTTGGAACTGTTTGAAATTATGGATTCTACAGGCCACATTCTATAAGACAATTGTTTTTCCGGGTCGATCTGAGACAAGTTTTATTTCGGGCCTCAAAAAAAGGCAATGTATAACCTTCCTTTTTTACCAAAAATCGACTACACTAAAATTTCTCGGGAAAACACTTTTTCGTATTAATTTTGGTGCGTAGAATCCAAAACGATTCGTACTTTTTCGATTAGACGTCTCAATCAAAAGTTATATATAGAAACCCTGGTTCTAGGGGTTTAGATTTCAACACGGAACCACGCAGAAATCTGGTGTTTAGGGAAATTGTTTGAAAAATAATACGAATCTCTTTGCGTTGTCATTTTCTCCTTCTTATACAGGGTCTTTTTTAAGGGACAATTCGCCATATGTGGCAAAGTAGAGAAGATACGCGTATAAAAATGAAATGCAAGGTTCTCGACCATTGACTTTTTAGCGTAACACAACGAAATTGCGGTAACGCTTTTATGCTCAATTTTCCGCAGTCTGTCTGTCTATCTATCTGTCTGTTTCAGGGTCTGTTTGTTCCTTCGAGATCTCGGCCCCTGACTCCTGAGCCTGGGCCACCTTAGAGACTTCGCGTTACTCTAATTGAAAGCTGCTATGGTCTACATTTGCCCGTTACTCATCATTTACAGTTTTGTTAAACGACAACACCCTTTTTTGTTTAATAGTGGCATTTTTGGCACTTCCGGTTCTACCGAAAGTATGTATACCCACTCCCTTATTTTAAATGGCAATCCCAATTTTTTATTACACAGTTAGATTCCTTGTTAGCGTATTTTCGAACGAAGGGTGTTCCGATTACCAGTCCTGAACATTATGTCTGTTATACGTCCCATTTTATTTGTTTACCAGTTCAAGATTTCGGCATTTAAGGCAATGAGTGGCTCAGATGTAAATGTATCCGTTATCTTGTAAGATGCGCAAACCCTTTCCTATAAAGATAAGCAACCTCCGCTAATTCAAAAACAGACATCCACCCTTTACCGCTTAGCTTAGGTCAAAAATTTTTTGGAAAAATTTCATTTGTAGATAGTCGTTTATTTTTAGCGCATTTTTTAATAATTAAAAAAATGTGCGATTTGTCCGTCCGTCCGGGCCCACTACTGCCATTTTGAACTACTTCTAGGGGAATAGTCCTACAGTCCTGGAAGTGTTTGCAGTAGGTAGCCTATACCTCGAAGGTGTGCCAGGCGGCCATCAAATTTCGCTGTCTAAAAGGCCTCCCCCCCCCCCCCCCCACGAATTATGTCCTGAGATGCTGTTTTTGAAAGTAAAACGTGCATAACTTTTACATACGACAACCAATTGGTCTCAGAATTTGCATACGTATGCCTTTAGTGGTGCCAGGTTAAATTTTAGAAAATTGGGGGGGGGGGCAAACACATGTTCTACCCTTCATGGTATTCTAATGAAAGGTTTCATCGTAATAAATTGGTTTGTACAAAATATAACTTCCCCGTGCACCACTATACAGGGTGTCTTAAATTGAGTAGAATAACAGTTGGCTATCTTTGTTATTATTATACTTACAGATTCGGTTAAATTGGCAAAGTTGTGTAGTTTTTAATGCTAATGGAAATTCCGCTGCGATATTTTGAAAAAAATACATCGTTTCGTAGATAGGTAATTCAAAAAAGTTAAAATCGCCATTTTGATAAGGTTCCAATATTTTAGTAGCAAATCTATAGCTTTTGCTTTTTCCTGCACTGAAATTTGTACCGCTTCGTTTCATTGTAAGGTAAGGATATGTTTTGTTACCAGAAAATTCCGATTACTTTCGAAGATACGTCAGAAAAACGGAAATTTGTCGATTTCGATTTTTAATTTTTGTTGTTATTGGGGCAGATACAAAAAAAATTTTAAAGAAACTTTCTCATTGCCACTTTTTGAGCTTTACACGATACTGTTGAGATTTTCAATATGAGGTTCCGTTTCGGAGAAATCATCATCAAATTTGGTCCGTAAAAAAGTACATACTTACTGCACCTACTCACGCATTTTTGACTACGCATACAACGATGTACGGCACACAGAAAACAAGTTGGAAACTGTTGATTTCAACAGGATGGTGCACCCGCACACGACGCCATAATTAATTAAGGCGTTGTGTGAAGGTGCTGGTGAACCAAAACGCCAAATGCCGTTTGTAAAATAGAATATACAATGTACTAAAAACTCCATACAATCCCGCAATTTCGCAAAAGCTGACATTCTTGTTTCACAAAGCGTACCTACTTCTTGCTTACTTTCCCAACAGGTTCTAATGTTAAAAACATTTATTAGAACATCACGTACAAGACACAAGTCTACCGTTTCGTAACGCGATCCTATTGTTCTAATTCACCTTTGAAGTTGTTAAAATAATTTAGAAGGTCAACCGTTCTTCTTCATTCCGTTTAGTTTTACCCCATAACAGTTACGCTCTGTTTCTGTGTTAATATTTCGTGTTAGAATACATGCTTACTAAATTAACACGCTTTCGATCGTAAATTCAAGTGGGGAAATTAATTCCCCGCAAATCGTGGACAAAATTAAAGCTGACATTACTTTGATATACCTCGCGTTGTAAATGTCTTGTACTTAACCGCAAGATTTCGCTCGAGCCCGCGCTGCTCTCGCATTATGTGAAATGGTGTTAGCGCAAATGGGTCTCTGCGATTTTCTCGGTTTTTTATTCGTCTCCTACTGTGCGCGTCAGAGAAATGTCGAGAAGAAACCCTCGGAAAAATTCGAAGTCGAATTTCAGTGGAGTTACATTAATTTCACGTGGCCCTCGACTATGGATTACCACTACGCGACCACCAATGTTAAGTATATACCGGAAAACAACGCGATGGCCGGTATCAAGTATTACAATAACAGAATGTACATTGCATTGCCAAGATTGCGAAAAGGCACGCCGGTTACTTTAGCTTTTCTTCCTATGAATTCCAAGTCGACCACCAACCCTCTTCTTCGCCCTTATCCCAGTTGGGAGATGAACGTTAGGAAGAATTGTTCGGCTTTGCAGAACGTGCAGAGCATGGAGATCGATCGTTTCGGTGTCATGTGGGTGATTGACGGTGTCAGAATAAACAGTTTGACGAAGTGTCCGCCGAAAATTGTGCTGTTGGACCTAAAGAACGCAGGCAGGGTTTTGCACAGCTACGTCGTTCCCAACGATGTCAGTTTGCATCAGGGGGGTTTTCTAAATGACATCGTGGTGGATGAGAGTGACGGTGGTTTTGCGTACATAACTGATAATAGTGTGCAAGATCCAGGCCTTGTGGTGTATTCGCGCGTTTACAATAAATCGTGGAAGCTACGAGACGCTTCCATGTTCGGCGAAGTGGACGCCTCGGAATTTACAGTGGATGGATTGATTAATGAAGGTATGGTACCAGTGGATGGAATTGCGCTCGAGCCGATGCCGGCGAAACGAAAAGGTAATCGAATGGTATACTACTGCGCCTTGAGTAGTTACAGCCTCTACGCCATTAGCGCTTCCATACTGAAAAATGAAGAACTGTGCAAAAGTGGCGAATGGCGAAGAGACGTGGAGTACATCGGGAAGAAAAGGAGTCAAAGCGATGGATTAGTGATGGATAACAAAGGTAATCTTTACT